GTGTGTGTATATATATATATATATATATATATATATATGTATATGAGTGTGTATACATAACACCGTCACAACATTTAACTAACATTCAGCTAACCAGCAAACAGAGTATTAAACCAAAAAATACTGGTTTAATACAGAAAACACAGGACAGCTAAAAAACAATTTCAAGAAAAATTTTCAAAATGTTAAATGCAAAACTACAGATGTAAGACTTATTTTCAATATAGTGTAAAAGAAAGCTTCTGAAATGTCTTTCTTTGTGTGTTGTTTTCTTAGGCCTGACCCGATGGCTCCATTTGCCGCTGGCGGTGCCGATCTGGACCCTTTTGGGTGAGAAATCCCATCAATTATTTGTCAAAACAGTCATCTGTAAATGCATCATGCATGTTGACCTGTAGTTTAACAGATGTTTCTTGGTGATGAACCGAGTATTTGTAGATCTCCCTTACGTAGAAAAAAAAAACAGCTTGAAAAAAAAATTTTGGGTTAGGCTTTTTAGATTAACAGATATCAAAGAACATTTAAGAACTTGAATGAATAAGTGCACCTTCAAGGAACGACCGTGCTCACTGAATTATTAATAGTTCTTGTTCTTGGCTCTTTCTCCAGGGGAAGAGCAGGAGGGATGATCGTCGATCCATTACGTGCCGGGTTTCCTCGCTCAGGGTTTGACCCCTCTTCTGGTATTCCTGGAGTCCTTCCCCCTGGCGCTGTGCCTCCTGGTGCCCGCTTTGACCCCTTCGGGCCGGTTGGGCGACACAGACCTGGGTAAGAGCTATAATGGGATCTTTACAGTCTGAGTTCAGTTGTTAAACTGCCATTACCTCATTTGACCTCATGTCCTCACCTCTGATGGCATTTGTTTTGCTCTACCTTTCAGGCCAGACCCTGATCACATGCCCCCACCAGGATATGACGACATGTTCATGTAGACGCACTAATATTCCATAGTTCTCGCTGCTCTGCAGTGATACGCACTTTTTGTTTGAATAAACTGGGTTGTGGTGAAACATAATTACTCTTAATAATTCTGTTACAGAATTATTATTAAAACAATAACATTATTGGTTATTTTGATATTGCCAAAAAAAATAACAACTGATAATTCCATTTTTGTCTGATTGTGTTCTACCTGGTTGCTCTTTTTTTGCTACTGACTCGTGCTGCAATTCTAAATTAAACTGCTTTTATTCCATCCCATGTGATTGATATTTTTCTGATATTAAAGACCGTTAAAATGCTAAATTGATTTGAAACATTAAGGTTTGCTATTACGTTTCTAATCTGCCTGACAGATAATAATACATTTGAATACTTACATACTTCATTAAATAAGGGACCTTGGCCATATACTATTATAGTTTTTCTGAATATTCAATATTGTTGTGTTTTGTAATTTTTTGTTTTTTTTTTTTTTTTAAATGAATAAATTTTTATTCATTTTTATTTAATGTTTAGTTTATTTTAGTACTTCAAGTTAAACTAAACAAAAATGATAAACGTTGCTTTTGAAATTAAATAAGTTTAAGTTATACACTGTTTTATTTCAGTAATCATTTATTTTATTTCAAGTACAGTTTTGTTGTCTGTAGATTTAGGTTTAGTTAATAATCACTGCTTAAAGGTGAGCATTTGTTTTTTATCTTGACCATCCAAGCAACCACTCTGGTGAACTTTTGCTTGGTAACCACCGATCACATTTTTTTTTCTTTCGAAAGAGTAAAAATGTAGATTAATTGTGTCATCTGAAATGTTACAAGTGCTTAGATTTGTGTGAGGGCTTTTCCTGCATGCAGCTGCACTGAACTTGCTCTCCAGTCTGTTTAAAGTATCGGTAGATGAAAGCAAAGCTTCTGGAGATGGTGGCTTCAGTGAGAGGGACACCAGCAGCAGATGTAGTGGAAATCGATGCCTGTAATGGCCACAGTGTGTCATGATGACCGCAATGTCAATGTGACTGTCCTCTACTGCCAGA